CTATAAAGAACTATTTTAGTTCACTAACATGGTTAAAGTTTGGGCCCTCCTGCCTGCAAACAGCTTTTCCCTATTCTCAGTTATTTACATTTAGTTATCTATCTTAATGAGGGAATTTCATAGCATTTAAGTTAATACATTACCTACCTGTTAAAACTTTCATATTACCAGTCTGTGGGTGCAGCGCTATTACAGTCTCCTAAATGCTGATAAAACCCCTTTAAATCTGCCTTATTTACATATATAATTTCTATACTCAGTGGTTAGCTAAGTTCGTAATGTGTTTGGAGGATGATAAGTGTTAGGGAAGATAAGCATTATCTTATCCTTATGGGAAGCAAACCCACATATCTCCAAAGTGTTTTAAGTTAATTAAGTRCCACTTTACAAGGATAGCAACACCGTGCTGAGGGCTGCGGTTCAGTGTCGGCCTCCATGTCCGTATGCAATGCTCCCAAAGTTAATTTCCTAATTGGATAAGCAGATGAGAGCACAGCCAGAGCACAGGAGGCTGCTGGCATGCACTTGGTCATACCTCAGCACATTCACATTATTCCATGTGCAAAAGCACAGGGGCAGGCTGCTTTTAAAAATGAACACAGGCTTATTTCACCACCTAGGAATGTAAAGTTCCTCTTCAAGTTTAACATTTCAGCAGTAAAAGCAGCAGTTTAATCAGTGCATTTATTTAGCACAGGGGAAAAAGCCCTCTCTGCTCACCCCTTTTCTGGACTGCTTCCTTCAGCACTCCATCACTGCTCTTTTACAACAATTTGCAAATAGCTTTAATTCTCTCTGATCTTATACATCAATTGGACAGGGTTAGGATCARCCTGGGATAGTGGAAGGTGTCCCTGCCCATGGCAGGGGGTTGGAACTGGATGGGCGTTAGGGAACCTCCCAACCCAAACCATTCTATGATCTGTTGAGTCTACAAAACAAAATTTAACAGAAGAGTTATGGATGAGTCAGCAATGCCCTTCTGTTCTCTGTCTCACCAGTATTTAGCTTTAAGCGAAGACATTTTAGACTGCTTTTCCACACTACGCAGGCAGATATCACATCATCCCTGTGTCACAGGCACGGAGCACTTACTGAGCCAGCTGCTGCTGTGTACTCACCACAGAGCACCAGAGAGGGAATTTACAGCCTTCACACTCCTTGGAGGCTTGAATCCAGGAGCCAGGGCTCAGGACATGGCCAGGCCTGGAAGGTGGCTGCCTGAGTGGTTGCTCAGGTGCCCAGGGAGCAGCAGAGGTGACCTGGTCCCATCTGTTCACCATGTTCAGCTGTTGCAGCTACAGGTGATGGCTCCCACACCCAAACCAAGGTTTTATTCAGGGTTCTCTCTCTCCTGCAATCCTTATTTCCCAGTGGCAGCACCACTGACTAGCCCACCCCACTGAGAGGGGTCTCACAGTACCTTTGGGCACTGTTTGGAAGCAACCACCAGCCTTCCTCAGGCCATGTCACTGACCCTACAGAACTTGGATGTGAAAAGCTTGGCCCACCTTTGCTGTCTCTGGGTCCTATAAATATTCTCATATTCCTCATGGTCATACTGGTTCCTACATTAGCCCCAGAGRAATGGGATAATGGGAAGACATTGCCCAGCACTTCCCAGGAAGCAGCACATGGCTCCTGCAAAAGCTGAATGCTCCTTTCTGAGGCTCTGCTCCCTGCAGCTCCTCATTAGATCACTACCTCATCACACAAGCACAGAAACCCCCTCTTTGTAAACACAAACTGAGAAGTTCATTTGTGCAAATCTCCATAAAGATGGAAATAATCTGGATCACAATTTGTGCTTATGTAAATGTCAGCACGCAAAAAAAGCAGGCTTGGATCAAAAAGACAAGTTGTAGTTAACACCCRTAGTAAAATACACATGCTCCTGTCTGACCTTCATTAGCTTTCTCTGGACATCCGCTGGACAAGAGAATTCCATCCATAAAAGTGACTGCAGAAATTAAAAATCCTCTGAATTGCCAGATGAGTGCCTGCACATACARAGCCCTCCATYCCAAAGGGCACCCTCGTACCTCTGRGTGYGGGAGCCATCGATCRGAGACCAGCAAASAGCAAACCCCACACAACTTGTGCAATGACTTAAAGAGCAATAATCAACTTTTAGAAAGAACAAAGCAAGTGTGCAGATTTGGCTACATTTGGGACAGATCTTCTTGCACAGAGAGGAGTAAAAGGAAGCCTAATGTCATTTCAGAATGGCATGGCAGAGAAAAGTCATTCAGACAGAATGATTGTGTCAAATGCCTCCTTTCCCAGAGCCAAGGCAGTGTTGTTTAGCTTGTTTTCATGGCCAACCTTTACAGAGATAAATAAATATACACACGTAAAACAGGAGGGCTGCTGTACCACTGAGAGCTGTTATTTCCAATATGCTTTACACTCTGTGACTCACAGACCAAACCCACAGCAACGGGATGATCAGATTGCTCATTTCATCTGTGCAGAATGGAGCTGTTGAAGAGATTCAGGTTTTTAAAGATGGCTTCAACTCCCACTGAAACCCAGCCAAGTCCTGTAATGCAGAAGAAATCCATAGCTGGCTGCACCCAGACTGGGTTGGAGCTCTTTCTTTAGCCAAACACTTCCCAGTGCTCACCCACTGCACATCCAGCTCGTTTGATGCAGAAATCGTGCCACTGTCAATTTTCTGACCCCTCTGTGAGGGGCAGTCTTTCCACATGCCACCCTATAGGATACTTTATTCCATGATTTTGTAGCTGCTAAACCACAGGTCAGATTTCAAATGAAACTTGACCTTTTAGAACCAAAAGAGAAATCCTCTGCCAGTGGGTCACTGTGCAGGGCGCTTGGCCCAGAACTAAGGTGGGATTTGTGAGGCACCAGCACCCAACTCCCCACATGAAAATTGAAGAGAATTGGGGAGCTCCTATTTGCACATTTCAAGCAGGCAGGAGATTCTAGAGGTGCTCCTCAAGTGCCCAGGATGAACGCTGATCCAGGCACAGAAAATTCCTGCCGGAGCAGCCAACCCAGCTGCACCCCACCCTCAGTCCCAGGCGCTGTCCCAGCACCGTGACTGTTTCCTTTCAGTGCTGCTGGGTGGGGATGGGGTGCACCTGACCCCCCATATCCTGCTGATAACCCCACTCAGCCACCCCTCAGAGCACGGAGCACGCTGAGCTCCTCTCCAAACCACATGTACCAAATATACATTTGACCCAAAGTTACATAAGCGCCGTGCCAGAGCTATTTTTCAGCCAGACTGATCAGCACTGCTATAAATCACCCCAGGATGCAGAGGCCAGACAAGATGTCACATTTATGTGCTCGGCTTTCTGCCTGCCCTGAGAAAACGTTTGTGATATGCCAACAGATCTATTCCCTCCCTGCCTCCCCTGYTCTGTAGGTGCATGACTGCTGCTCAGCCCTGAGCAGGCTCCAGCACAGCGCTCCCTGTGCCCACGACAGCCTGGGGACAGCACTGAGCTGTCCCTGCCCCTGCAGCTCCTGTCACCAGCCCCAGCCAGCGCCCAGAGCAGCCCCYGGGAAGGGGAAGGGCAGGGCAGGGCAGAGCAGGGAGTGCCACATTAACCTCCGCAGCAGGGCAGTAATTGATAATCTCAGCTCGCCCTCCGTGSTCGCAGGGATGGCAGACTGCTGCATAACTCGTCCTACCCTACTCCAAGATCCTGGTATAAGGGGTCCTATCTTGAGCTGCAGTTATTGGCCCAATAACTGCCTCAATATTCTTGGAAACTTCTGCTCTAGCAGGATTCAGGACCAGGCAATTTCACAGTTTGACTGCAAATAACATTCAACTTTGTACCTCATTCCTCGCTATGCTTCACCTCTGTTTACCACCCACCAGCGTTGCTTCAGCATCTCATGGTGCTAGGCACAGCCAGGGCAGGTTTCTCATTCAAGTGTACAAAGTAGGAATATCAGTAACACTTTCCTCTCCAGCCGAGTGCTCCAGGGCTGTCCCCAAAGCCAARCGCTCTGGGAGAGCCACACTGCATCCCTGCACCTGCCTGTCCTCCTGGGCGCACAAGCGTCACCCACAGAGACACAGCACACACCAGCTTTTGGWTCAGCACAGCACCGGGCGTCAGCTCCATTTCCCAAACTCCGAGAGGGAATCACGCTGCACTGCCAGAAACACCAACTCTGCTCATTCCGACACACGGAAACTTGCAGGCATTAAAGCTACCGAGATGGGAAGCAATAAGCAAGACCCTTGATTGAAATTACACCCCCAGTTGTGAATCTGTGGGGAACAACTTTAAAAAAATCAGCTCCCACAGTGAGTGTTTTAATCAGATATCTCACCTAGATTTCTTACATCTTTGAAACGCATTTCTCTATCCTGCACAGCATCTTTAGAATTCCCTTTCTACATCTCAGAATTACGGGACCTGGTGAGATTTTAATAGAAATCCCTTTTCTGTGCTATAAAGAGACGCATTACTWGAGATTTTAATTAGCAGTTTTCAGTGCTGAGCCATAGGAAACACTGAACAGTTTGCTTAACTTCTGAGAGAAAGTGCCTTTTGCTTTCCGACCTTCTGCACTCAAATGATGCAACACGCTTGAGCCACTTAAAAACTCCTTTCCAAAGCCCAGCTCCGTAGGAGTAAAAGCCATCCCCTCGATCAATACACATGGTGCTGCTCCGAGCCGTGCTTGCCCACTGCACACCCGGCTCGTTTGATGCAGAAATCGTGCCACTGTCATTTTCTGACCGCCGCTATAAATCTGAAAGGCAGCGTTCTGTTATTTCCATTTCCTTCCATCCTGTGCAAGGTACTCCGAGCTTTAAACACACATAGAACTTGGAAATTAAATGCTAAATCGTTTCAGTCCCTTGAGACTYCGTTCCCACAGTAACAGAGGGAAGAGCCGGGGTCCGTCATGCAAACTTCAGGCAAGGCGGGCACCGGCTCCGAGCCTCGAGTCACCACCCGCGCCCCTACCCCAACCGCATGAAAGAGCACGAGAACCATTCCTACCGTTCAGCTGCCTGTAGACGATGTCTTCTAGGAGCGAGAGCCTCTTCAGCACCGCATCCTGGATGGAGCTGACGCCGCGGGCTGTCAAGTTGACCACTTCTGCCCTGGGATGGATGTCATGGAAGGAGTCGCCGCTCTTGGTCGTGATGGGTCTGCACTTGGCCAGGAAGAGCACGAAGCCAGCCACGGCGATCAGGTTCAGCACCAGCAGGACTTTGACTCTCCTCAAAGAAGCCATCAAACTTCCCGAGGGGCCCCGCCAGCCGCCGCGCTGCCGGCAGGGCTATGGGAGCGGGCCGGCGGCCGCCCGCCGCTGCGCGCACATC